TATATGTATGTATCTACAATCATTTCTGAACTTAACTACTTCCTCTATAACTAATATCAAGATTTTGTTCTATATGATTGGTGATTGTATGTGAGGTACCTTACGAAAGCCAGGGAACAGTTTTTCAGTATGTGGCATGATAATAGTTAATAGATAAAATCGGGTCGATACTACCCTAACTTTCATATACTACGTATAATGATTTTTGTTTTTCTAGCAAATCTTATGCCGAATTTGTCAGAATATAAATTATAAATAGTATTGCTTAAATTTCGACTAGCAAGTTGCAATGGTATAAAATGTTCGTTTGCACCACAACTTAGCACATCCTTACTTGTTTCAGAGAGTTTCGATTTTCTAGAATCACCGTTGCTCGTGCATACCCTATAAGAAAATGTAACTTCGAAGATTGACTCAGTAGCCGCTAAAAAAATTTTTTGTATTTACGCAAATACAAAATAATAAAATTATCGAAGTTAGGTTTTGTTAGAAGGCATTAAACTTACCACCTTAGGCCTTAGTTTGAGTGGAAAAATAAAATTTTTTTTAATAAAAATTAAAAAAAAAAAAATTTTAGTATAAATATTTTGCAGTTAAACCGTTAAATTAACAATTTTTTTTTGAAGTGGGAAAGTTGGATGAACGCGCCCCCTTGATTGGCTTGTAAAGCTTAAGAAACGCTTTCTATGTTTGCCTAAACTCTTTTCGTTTCGATATTTTTGTGCACGCTGCATTTGAGTTTGTCTCCCTGGACAACAAAAAAAAAATTAGAACATTAATAAAAACATACAATTGAAACCGATATAACTTCGGTTGTTTCCAGGATCAGATGCGTATAAAAATCCTGGCAAAGCTTGTCAACTCCCTAGCAGGCTCTAAAACTATTCAAACACACCTTGTCTAAGCTTAGATCTTGACTACATTAAATAATTTAAGCGATGCGATAAAACAACATATTTTGCTTGTTAAGCTTACTCCCTTCCGTCTAGCGCCAAAACTTCGGCACCTTCAAAGGCAAAGTTCGGTAAAACAACCACAATGACTTATTTGCTCTAACATTCTGCAGTTATTTCAGTGGATTTTTTTTATAAACAAGTCAAGTTGCTTAATTATTAATTTAACTTTTACCTAGTTCATTTACAAATCCCTTTCGCATATTCCACGTTTTACTCCAACCTTAACGGCTTTCATTATACCTCCTGTAGTAGTTACTGTGTTAACAGCTGTAAATAAGTTTCGCTATTCTCTTATTGTGTCTACGTGACGCTTAACGGTGATAAAAGCCAAAAGGGCCAATGAAAAACTTAGAACACGTATTCCTAATTATTTCAACAGACCAACAGACTAAATTGGCGTGAAGTCACCTGTCATTTGATTTATTAACTTTGTTGCTTGACTATGTAATCGATTGAGTTAGCGAAGAATGCATCAAGCGGACACGAGCAAACGAAAGCGAAGCTCTAGCCACCTGTACACCGTATTCACCACACCGAAGTGGGCGCCAGTTTGTGTGTACTTTGTGGCGGATTAAAGGAGTTTAAGAAAGTTGTAATCGTGCTAAATATATATAATTTGTGTGATAATCATTTTCGATGGCAATCGAAGCATGTCCTCCCAATCTTATCACATAAAAATGCATGTAATTCAATGAAGTTCAGAATTAAAGCCTTACATACAAACTCAACTACGCATTTCGAACTTTTAATTACATTACTCAGACACATATTTGATTTTTGCTTCTCTCCATCTCCCTCTCTCCACCTCAACCCAAGTTTGTGAAGCACAAAACTCAGAGACATTTTAATAATTGCGCATTCATCAAGCTGTCGGTCTTTATTTACTGTCCAGTTCAAAATTTACACAGTCTCGTCTTAACCACTCCAAGAATTGCATGAATTTCAGGAAGTGCTGAAAGCAAAGCACCGAAGTCATTTCTTTAGATTGAATCTAAAATGGAAAATGCATTTTTTTTCGCCTAAAATCAACACAGACTTGTTGTAAGCGACGAGTCGAAATGTGGCTGAACTTAAGAATCTGCGACAAACATTCCTCGGAGACTTTAAGGTACAGCTTTCCGACTGCTCTAAAGCATTGAAAGCGGTTATGCAGCGTTGCACTCAATGAATTTGCATTAAAAGTACCGTTATCAAGCGAAATAAAATGGAATAGAACAAAATGAAAGGAGTAAAATGAAAAAAAAAAAAAAAAAACAATTTTGAAGGAGTAAGGAAGCAGCTCGGAAAAAATTGACACTTGAAACTGGGCACAGTTGTTAATGACACTTAATAACAACAACACTAGCAACAACAACTGTGCCCATGTCAAGCCTTTCAAAGCCGTAGTGACCGTTTTCGTATTTTTTTTTTCCGCTGAAGCTACATAAGTTTCAGTGCGCGCTTAACTGTCATAACTCTTCGACGAGGTGCGCTCCAGAGTCAATGGAGTTGTGGGAAAACTTTGTTTTTTATGTATAATTAAAATTCTTTATTTCAAACCCGAAGTAGTTACATTAAACTTAGAACAGATAAAAGAGAAAGCCTATAATGTGGTGCTAGAGGATGCCAGTAGTAAGTAACGAAACCTAGAATCGCTTCTCTAACAAAAATATATAAAATCGAAATGTTTGGAGAGCGTTATTAATTTTTTGAGATTCTTTACGCTGATATTGGACAAATAGAAAATACATTACTCCTTGCAAGCGCCTCTGACTAGGGGCTAGCTGACGTGAGAAGCTTCTTTAAGTCAGAAATACACTCAGCACTGCCCGATGAAAGGCAACATTCTAATAAGCTTTTCACACAGCCAAACTAATTTAGTACATTAAGATTGTAATTGAGAAATCAGTTTTTATCTTTCACGTAGCCGGATACTTAATTAACGATGCCAGTTACTCGATTAATGATAAGCTGTTATACTTGTTTGTATTCTTCAAATTCTATTTTTTATTGATTAAAACACATCATCAGCTGATTGCTATTTTATCAATGTACACAACCAATTTTACAGCCTGGAGAGCAACCTTCGGAGATAAACATAGCCAAATTTACAGTGTGAACAACAACCCGCAGAATTGCATTCCAGTTTCATATCGATTCGAATTCGGTTCAGAATTATTGGAATCCAAAGTGGAGCAGGTGCGTGAGCTTTTGTCAAATGCCATTAGTGTCTGAAATTTGTCTCTGGGGTACATGTGATATCTGTGAGGTAGTAACAACCCATTAACAACTTTGCTTGGCGTTTGTCTTTTGTCTTTTGACGCCTTGACCATGGTCATGCGCCCAATGCTATGGTCTTACAGCGGTAGAAAGCTACAAGTTTTCCCCTCGAAATCTGAGTTTATGTATAAACGTTCAGTTTATTCCGAAAGACGAACCGAAATACTCACATATAGATCGCCGTTAGCTTGATGACAAGCACTTGAAAACTAAATGAACAGACTTGAGTTTAGGAGGGTTGTTCATAATGGTAATGAACTCTGGAGAAACTAAGAATATCCGTACAAAGATAGAATCAACACCAATAAGGTTTCTGACAACGAAAAGTACATTGCTGACGCCGACGGCCGCAGTAAGAGTTTAGCCTTCAATACAATCAAAGTCAGCCAAATATTTGATTTAAACAGAATGGAGTGGTCAGTTGAATAATTTCTGTATCGGAACCGAGTTCAAAAGAGCCTTGAATCATGAACTGATGTGTTTAAAATTGTTTTTGAAGAAAATGCTATATTTTTTTTTCCAAAATTAAAGAGGATAAAGTTTGTTCGTTGAAAAATTGCCACATCATGTTTCGAGTTTTTAGATGTTTCAATTCGAAACTAATCGGTTTGGGTCCAATCGAATTTTCGACAGAGAAAAAACATGGGTTTGAAGAAAAAATTATATATTTGTTTCCAAACTTAATCAGGATGGATGATGGAGTTCGTCGGTTGAAAAATATCTGTATCGGGCTCCGAGTTCCACAGATCCTTCAATCAAAAACTCATCTGTTTAAATTCGAGGATAGAGTTTGTTAGTTGAAAAATTACTAATTTTTCAGTTAGAAACTGAGCTGTGTGTTAAAAAAAAGTTTTTGGAGAAGAGAAATTTTTTTTTCAAATTTAATTATAATGGAGTTCATCAGTTGAAAAATTTCAGTATCGGGTTTGAGTTTCAAAGACTTATCTGTTTTACAAAATTGTTTTTGAAAAACAAAAAAATAAATACTGTTTTCTAACTTAAACAGGATAGAATTTGCCAGTTGAAAAATTTCTATATCAGTTCCAAGTTCTAAAGATCTATCAATTAGTAACTGATCTGCTTAAGTCCGATCGAATTTTAGTTGGAAAAAACTGTTTTTGAAGTAAGAGATTGCTTCGCTCTTATAATTTTTTCAAACTCTAAGCATAATTTGAAAAACCCTAAAACTTCAACAATTATGTTCACACAATATGGAGCACACCTCGTTGCTGTTGTGCGAATAGTTTAGCATGAATCGAAGCTGTAGGAAGTGCAAAACACTCGAAGGCAAGTACCTAAGTCGTCGGTTGGCTGGCCGGTCGGTGGTGGTGCGCCCGCCTTGACAACTAAAAAGTACTCTAAAAAGTTTGGTCGCATTCTAGCTTGAGCAAAGGATTTGTATTTTTCTTTATTTTTTCCGTTTTCTGCCTTGAGTTTTTTGCATTTTTGTAGCAATGGCTCACTCACGCTGAAGGAGTTGATAAGTTTTTTAATTCTTAAAAGAACCGTTTTTTTGCTTTCTGCTTTTTGCTATTTCTTAAGTTTTCTAAGTGCAGTGGCAAAAGTCACTGAACGTTGGAATATCAATTTTTAATTTGTGGCAGGAAGTGTTGGCTGCGCTTTGGATTTTTTTAGTTTTTAGTTTATTTTCGTTCACTTTTTGCCATTACTCCTTTCCACAATTTAGTTTTCGTTTAGATTCAACGGTAATTAATATGTAGCAAACTTTACTACAGTTCGACTTTAAATGGTGTCTGTCTTGTGTTATGTCATTTATATACTTACACTGAAGTTTTTAATATCCGTTTCCTCGGAGATCTGCTTTAACACACCCACATTAATTAGATTGTTACAATACTGCATTGTTAGATTATTCAAGTCTTGTTCATTGAGATTACTGCCCGTTTGTTGCAGCGATGAAATCAGCCATTTCATGAGCATTTGACCTGTGAAGAAAAGGGAATTTTGAAATTTTTCTTATTAAAAATTAAACAAAATAAAAATTTCATTTTCTTTAAATAAAAGCAAAAAGCCTCATGTCCGCTTTCACTCACTTATCTTGTAGGAACTATAGATCATGTGCAACATTTGTAAGAACGCTACCATATTGTGTAACGGTATATATATTAGCTCAAAATAAACGCTCTCGCACATTGAATTGTTACAAAATTCGTTAAATAGCGTCTTTTTATTTATTTCTGTAAAGCTTTTTAAATAAAACTGGAAAAAGGTTTTCAAATAGTGACAAAAAAATTCAAAGCATGAAAGACGGCGGAATTTCTTTACCTTTGGAACAAAAGTTGTGTATATCTATGAATGAGATTTTGAATACAGAAATACACAAGAAATTAAAAAAAAATAAATTTTTAAGTTAGAGCATAAGTACATTTCATCACTTTTTAATCAATTGTACCAGGCTAACAATGGGAGATAAGGCAAACTACTTTGGAATAATTTTAGACAGGAAGATTTTACGAAAGCCAAAGTTAGACCCTAGCGTGAAGAAAGCAGCTACAACATTTTGCACCTGTAAAAGGATGATAGCGTTCAAATGGTGATTAACTCCACAGCAATTGTACGGCCGAATGTATCAAAAAACAAATGCACCCTAAGAAGTAAGGAAAACATTCATAGACCAATTAGTAATAGTGTAGACCTTAGAACGACGCCAAATCAGGCATTTACTGTCAAAGACTTGTTCTGTAAGTGACTGGCAGTGAAGTCAACACTTAGATTTAGGGAGTCCTCCCTATTAATCGCATGTAATATAAGGTATTCTTTGATACTTAGTGCATTGATGTTTCAACTTAATACCACGAGTTTTTGAAATCTTTTACAAATTAACTTAAGGAGACTTCAAAAAATCAATTTCTTGAGATTTTTTTTGGGAGGGAAAGAAATAATTGATTCAAGCGAAATTTCTAAGGTTTATTGGTATATATTTAAACATCATTCACAAATTTTTTGGATATGAAATCTTTGATATTCTGCATTTGGGAAGCAATTACCCGATGCGGGCAGGATGCAGGTCGCAATTTCTATCGGAAACAAAAACTTCAAAAAGATTCATATTTTTTAATAATTTTTCTTCTAGTTAAATTAAAAAGATTCCGAAAAAAAGCAGAAAAGTTTAGCAATTTTTTAAAAATTGGGAAAAAAGGGGTTTTTGGGCAAAAATTTTTTACTTTATTTTGTATAAAAATGTGTTCAGACTTGACTATTGTTAGTTTTCTTTACTTTAAATAGAAGATAATTCAATGCCAAAGATAATAAACTTTGCCACAATTCCATACGAAGTTTAGTTTTTTTTTTCTATCTTGCCCGCCAATTTAAAAAATTGTAAAAATGAAAAACTGAGAAATCGCGCGTCAAAGTTTTCGCTTTCTGCCCAATCGCTCATATATCTGCTAGACGATCCGTCACTATTTTCCTTCTAGTCTCGAAAATATCTCAAATTCACATCTAAAACTTTTATTCTTAGGTTATTTTTAAAGAGATTTAAGCAAAAATAGTGGATTTCTTGAAGCTTCTAAAGCAGGTTCCCTTAATTACTTTTATAAGAGCATATTTCGAAAAATTAAAAAAAAAAAAAAAAAAAAAAAAAAAAAAAAAAACGATTTTTTGAAGCTTCTAAATCAGGCTCCTCCCTTAAATTCGGTTTCCAATATTGCCTTCCTTTTCAGAGAAGAGTGAGAAAGAGGTGAGGTAGACAGCGACGCCGGGATAAGTATCTATGCGGCTGGGTCCAAATTAGATAATCGCAAGGAGGTGTCTTTCCATCAAAGTTAGCTACCGAAAATGACTTCAGTCCACCAGACCACTCCAGTGTCCAAGCGGCGATCACAGCAATATTTAAAGCCTTCTTGTTCTAACAAGTAGTAGGTAGTAGTATTTCGAGGTTCCCTACTTTTTTAAAGAAAAAACAGAGGTAAGGCGAAAAAGGTACCTCTACTTGGATCACCCGTTATATACAGATAGCGAAGCGGCTTTACAATAAGTAAAGTCAGTGTAGCATAAGGTTATATATCAACAATTGTTTCCTTCTTATTGTTTCCTTACTTACTTGATTAAGTGGAACTTGTATCATTGCTTAGCCATTATTATCTTATGGTATTGCGTTTTGATGCAAGCTTCTTGATCAAAGTACCACGAGTTTGTTATATAATTGTAAACTTATTTTAATGAAATTATAGCATTTCGGTGTTATTACTATAATTGAAATTTGGTATAACTTTAACACTCAGGTATGATCCAATTCAAGGACATTGCCAGTTGGGGAGTGGGAGTGGGTGTCAGAAACTTACCACAAGGATAACTGGCTTGTTCCGGCCAAGCGTTCATAGCGACGTCGCTTTTTGATCCTTCGATGTCGACTCTTCCTATCATTGTGAAGCAACTTTACAATCAGTAAATTCGCTTGGGCTTTCATCAAAGATAGTCATGAATGCCATGAAGTTTTGGTGGATCTAACATTTTATTTCAAGATGAATCTGCAATGGTTGCCAGGACATTGTGATATTCCTGGTAATTGTGAGCAAATGACTCAGAGCTAGCCAGAGCACCAACTTACTATTTGTCTTTGAGAGCTTGTAGATATTTATTGGAAAAATTTGTTCTGAATATAACCGAGTTTGTGTGGAGTCAAGATCTCAACAAGCATACCAACGTATTATGAATGGAATCTGATCCGGACATGCCGACTATTAAAATTTAAAATAAATGCAGACCACATAATAACTATAAGGTGTCAGTAGGTAGAACAAAAGGCGAAGCTATAAAACAATTTCTATCAGTCGAGAGTTTCTTGACGACGGTTCGAAGGTTGTAGAGAAAAAACAGTTTACACTGATAAATTTCATCGGAAGTACGGGGTTGTTCAAAGATTCAAAGACCATAGATTATTGGAATTTAGTCCAGGTGGTATCACAATGCGTCATCTCAAGGTACGTTGTCAGACAGTCATTCTACGTAACCTAACCTAACATTCTACCTGCTCTGGATAGTGATAAGTATGGAAGTAGTTTTTATTAATAGAAGTGAAGATCTTTTTAGCGATGAGTATCGAATACTTGAAAATCAAGTTTAAGGAAAACTGAAGATATTTTCCGGGAACACTTTTTTGTTGGAAGACGTTCACATTTTATTGGGTTAAAATCTCATTCAGCCATATAAAAAACAGATAATGTTAAAAATTATAAAATGAGGTAATCTTTGATGAAAAGTCAAAGGTGGTAATAAACTGCAGCTAAACTGAAAGTAATAAACTGCAGCTAAACAATGATATTGTATTCAGGTAATAGTAAAAAAGAAGCTATTTTTTCTAACTTCCTTTGAACAATCTTATCAGAAGGCTAGAAGTTTTATTTTGCTTGAATATGAATATAATCGTTGGGAATTAATTACGAACATTAGCTTGCTGAACAATAACACGTACATTGTATTAGAAGTGTATTTGGGTTTATTACTCAATCAGCAGATAAGCGCTTTATAAGAAAAATAAATCAAGTTTGATATTTTTAATAGAGAATTTAATCTAAGACCCTGGCCTTCACAAGGCCACTTAAATGTTTACTACTTTGTTTTATCATCATTTCGCGCACAAATCTTATGTTTGGTAGCATAATCTCATGTACATTTCGATATTTTCAAAAAATTCCTTCAACTATAGTAAAAGATTTGAAAATTCTGAATTATTAACTGTTATTGAAAATTTGTCTTAGAGAATCTAAGGCTAAAATCGTAGTGAAACAAAGGTGAGAAAATACACCCTTTCAGCAAATTAATCAAAAATGTCCATATTTTCAACTAAGAGGTTAACTTAGGGTTCTATGATAAACACAGCTTTTTATTTCTGTTTCGTGGTTTTTTTTTTTTAATTTATTATCTTAAAAAAAGGGACTACAATCTGTCTCTATTGACTTCTGATGATAGAACCTTAGTGTTGATAGCGATAACATTTAGCTCCATATAGCATACAAACAAGAGAGAGCTACCACCTATCAATAATTCTAAAACCGGAATTTGGAATTGTAAAATGGTTTAGGAAGTATTCCCAAACATTTTATATCTTTAAAGTACAGAAATTTCGGAAACATTTGCTTTGAGCATTTTTTTTCTAATAGAGTTGCCACCTTTAAAACAGGTAGTATTAGAAAATGTTAATCTAGCGTTTACTAGAATTTGTAACTCTTTAAAGTGGAGACATTTTGAAAAGAATTGATGCGATTAAAAGTTATATTTAATAGAGTTGCCACATTTCACAAAATATATAACTGAGGGTTTTAAAAAATAAAAAAATATCATAGTAAGTACTTACAAAGCTCTGATTTGCTTTGAGTAAAAATTTTTTCTAATAGTGTTGCCACATTTCACAAAATGTAAATCTGCAAGTACTTAAAAATATACAATATCACAGAAAGCATTTAAAAAGCTCTGTATCTATTTCAAGCGTAGAAATGTTGTAAATATTTGCTATGAGCACATTTTTTTTCTAATAGAGTTGCCACTTTTCACAGAATTTATAAAAATGCCAGATGTAAGGTAAGGTATCTTAGAAAGCGTTCCACAAAAAAAGTTGCATTTTAAAACAGAGAAATTTTGTAATGATTTGCTTCGAGTAAAACTTTTTTTTTATAAAAGTTGCCACCTTTAAAAAATTTAAAATCAGAAGTATTAGAAACTAAAATTTGTAACTGTTTAAAGTAGAGAAATTTTGGAAATATTTGCTATGAGCACTTTTTTTCTAATGGAGTTGCCAGCTTTCAAAAAATTTCAACATGAAGTTATTATAAAGTGTAAGGTATCTCAACAAATATACCCGAAATCTTTTTCTCTTTGATGTAGAGGAAATCTGTAAGAATTTGTTTTAAATTTTTTTCTATTGAGGCTGCCAGCTTTCGAAAAATTTAAATTATTAAAAACTAATTCAGGTATTTTAGAAAGCATT